CACTGACAAAAAAAAAAGAAAAAAAAAAAGAAATTATTATTATTATTATTATTATTATTATTATTATTCTTTTCTTGGGTTTCTCTTGTATACACATTTTTTCCGGGTACCAAACAAAGATTTATCGTCAGAAATGGCATCGTGACATTTTCCATTAAATATAAAAAAAAACACATTTTTATGAAGATAAAGCCTTTCGTGAGCTGTGTGCTGCACTGTGAGTAGTTTGTATTTGTTTAAGGCATGGCTTACTAGAAATCGCTCCAATGAGTCTATCGGAACATTTTCCAATAAATCCGAGGGCTCCAACTCCGACTGGAAATACTGATGTCTTCATGTACCATATATTTTTTAGATTTCTCTTTCAAGATAATTGTATTTTGATAGTTTCTTTTCAAAGATCTTCAAAGACATATTATAGTCTGCCTTTACTGACATGTCAGTAAGAATGAATATTCTGTTTTTGTAATCTTTGAATAGGATTCTTGGGCGATTAGCTTTGATTGTTCTGCCTGTGTGTGTTGTAAAGTTCCATAAAATTGTTACAGGTTCTATCTCTGTAACCGGATGTGGGTGCTATTATTATTATTATTGCTCTTGTTATCTCTATCTATACAACGCAGGATGTGTGTGTGTGCGTGTGTAACGAATGCACGGCCGCAATTTTCGACGGATTTGCACCAAAATTTACATGCACATGCTCCAAGTTAGCGGGAAGGCCAGACTTTGCATTTACCAATTCCCATCGATAGTGGAAATAATCGATTTTTTTTCATGCTTCTACGGCAGTTTTCATGTAGTTTGCGGTCATTTTCTACTGGCTGACACGAATAGGCAGGAAGATTCTATTGGCCAGCGTGAGAACCAACAGCTGACTGACACGAATGTTAACTAGCATGCTAGCATGAAAAAAAAAGTCGATAGCTGCATTCGTCACACGTGGGAAAAATTTAAATCTGCATGGCACTTTACTCCAATTGGCTCATTCGCTTGCTTAAACTCAACGTTGATTCTGATTCCGCAGAACTGGGTTGGGTGTGAAAAAGTATTTGTTGCTAACATTCTTTTTTCATTCGTTTTTTTCAGTTACGAGTCCTTTTTTAAAGCTGATCGTTTTTTGTTCATTTTCTTTCGTTCTTTTTCCATAACAGATTTAATGTTTAGTATAGAGCTTAGAAAAAATTCGCAGTGTGAGATAGGCAAGAAGTAAGGCATATAGCAACATCAGCACGGCAAAGGGCACTCCTTTAAAGGCAAGGAAGGGCAAAAATATTTTAAGTCAAGTGATAGCGATTGCTGTGTGAATCGTACGATTTTTGAATCAAGCACGGGCAACGCCGGGCGGCGCTGCTAGTTATTATTAGAGTGCGTAGTGTAACGTGGTGGGGGGAAGGGTTGGCAAATGAGAGCACTCATCTGACGGGGACTACAACGTGAACGTTCCTTCTGTGGACCCCAAAGGAAATCGACCGTACCTTTTATCTCCCTTTCAGATCAATCTCGGGGTGTCTCAAACCACTTCTACTTGGTGGTATTGCTCTCCCCTTGCACCAGAAAGGGACACAGTCCACTCTTAACTTGAGAATTAGAAGCAGGTAATTGATCCATGTCACCTAATCTACGCCTGTGAAATAAGGACAGAAAAGCTCAAATCAAGACACAGCTTCCTAAATTCAGTCGGAGCACTGAAGAACAATACTCCGGTGATGTTTGACCCTTTTGGTCCTGACTGAATCGACAAGCGGTAAAGCGCCGATCTAAAATACGAAAATATTTTATCACTTTAAACCTTATTTATAGTGAATACTCGTATTTACCTTATGACACCGATGGCCAGACCCCAGTGTGTGTCCGCCTGCTTGTTTTTTATATATACAAACTTGTGCAAATTAAATAAAACTCTTATGGGATCGTACCCATAATAATAATAATAATGGACTATTCCATACTTAATAAATACTGCGCCTCAGGAGAAGGCAAGGAGTCAGTCAGTCGTTCACCTCTGAACTGACTGTTCGGTTCAACTCTCTTCCTACGGGCGGGAGGAACCCGAAGGAGGCTACGCCCAGAACCCGGGCGGAGTTCTCCTTCGGGGAATGCCCACGTTAAAAAAGGCCTTGCCCAGAACACGTTTATACGTGTTCAAATGGGCTACACGGTTGTGGCCGAGCCTAATGGAAGGGCTGTCTCCTTCAGGAATTCCCCCTGGACCCGTTAAAAGGCCTTGTGAGCCAATGACACCCCTCGTGGGGGGGTGACTGAATATTGTCAGTCAGTCGTTCACCTCTGAACTGACTGTTCGGTTCAACTCTCTTCCTACGGGCGGGAGGAACCCGAAGGAGGGCTACGCCGAAGGGCGGAGTCTCCTTCGGGGAGGTAAACTGGCCCAGAACCCGTTTATACGGGTTCAAATGGGCTATTTTTGGCCGAGCCTAATGGCTTGGGAATTGCCCACGTTAAAAAGGCCTTGTGCCACATGACACCCTCGTGGGGGTGACTGAATATCGTCAGTCAGTCGTTCACTTTTGAACCGACTGCACGGTTAAACTCTCTTCCTACGGGCGGAGGGCGGAGTCTCCTTCGGGCAGGTAAAACCGGCCCTGAACCCGTTTATACGGGTTCAAATGGGCTATTTTTTGGCCGAGCCTAATGGCTTGGGAATGCCCACGTTAAAAAGGCCTTGTGCCACATGACACCCTCGTCGGGGGTAACTGAATATTGTCAGTCGTCGTTCACTTTTGAACAGACTGCTCGGTTTGAACTCTCTTCCTACGGGCGGGAGGAACCCGAAGGAGGCTACGCCGAAGGGCGGAGTCTCCTTCGGGAGGTAAACCGGCCCTGAACCCGTTTATACGGGTTCAAATGGGTTTTTTGGCCGAGCCTAATGGCTCGTGAATGCCCACGTTAAAAAGGCCTTGTGCCACATGACACCCTCGTGGGGGGGTGACTGAATATCGTCAGTCAGTCGTTCACTTCGGAACCAACTGTTCGGTTGAACTCTCCGCCTTCGGGCGGGGAGGAACCCGAACGAGACTACGCCGAGGGGCGGAGTCTCGTTCGGGGAGGTAAACCGACCCTGAGCCCGTTTATACGGGTTCAATGGGCATATTTTTGGGCCGAGCCCACGGGCTCGGAGAACCCACAATAAATAACCGACCTTGTGTCACATGATGCCCCAGTGGGGGAGGTGACTGAATATCGTCAATCGTTCAAATCGAGTCAGTAGTTCAAGTCAATTCAAGAGTCGAATCAGAGGCAGTCCGAAACAGAGTCGCGTTCAGACAATTACTACAAGACATTGGAATAGTGATACTGGTCGAGACTACATTGTTCTACTAAACCTGATTGTTCATACTAACACTTCTCTGTATATATTCCTGTTTATAATATATCTGTGTTATCCCATACCTGTGTTCGAGTTCTCCTTTATTGGTTCTACCTTGGACTATCACCGTGGTACAAGGAACCGGATCATAACAAAAACAAAACGAATAATTCCGATATTATTTACTTTTTTTAGATTTTTTTTCCACTGAAACATGATCCAGTGCACATGTTAGTACTTCGTATGTCCATTCCACGAAGTCGTTCCAAGGAAATTGACCAAAAATTCTCGATTGGATTTAAAGCAGCAGAGTTTCCGAGCCAGACCATAGTGCTTTAATTTGCTCACTGGTAAGTCTTGCCATTGCGTTCGTGCAGCGTTACAATTTTCGTATGCTTCCTTGGAGTAACGTCCATCGCAGACAATAGCCGTAGGACAACTAATCAACAGTCGAGACAATATGTCTGGGTGTGATAAAAATCTGATGCAATCACGGATGACGCTATATTTTTCAAGGCCAGACAAATTTCATCATGCACCCTGAAAATAGATTCGTATTACTGCATGCCACTGCAAATGACCAAATCTGAGGAAAAAATAAAAATCGATTACACCCTGTCACTCTAGTGGGTCTAAAACTGACTGTATGTTGAAAGAAAGGAAATTTAAAAGGTTGTTTTAATTAATTCATGCAAGCGTGTACATACATGATATATATATTAGAGATATATTTTTAGTTTGTAGGGTGAGTTTCCTGTTTCTTGATACTTTGCTTAGCTTTTGGAAAACATCTTTTGCTATTTCAGTAGACCTTCGGATTTCAGTGGAACATTTTTAGTACTATGTTAAAGCACTTTCCGTATATTTAAACTTTCGAAAATAATTGTTCGCATAGTTTCGTACAGTCTCGAATGATTATGGAATATAGTCTTCAAAACGTTCTGAAAGAAGAATAATAAAAAAGAAAGGCATGGCACAGGGATAAAAAATTATTCTTTTATGCGAATTGAATTCATCTTTTAGTGACAGCACCTTTACTAATTCAGCTACAGTGACTTACGGATAATATTACACAGGTACGATCATATTCCTAACACTTTTCTCAAAACGTTCATGGTATATTTTGTTTTACGAACTGTTAATAGACTTAAATTATTTCAACTCCGATAATAAATATTTGAATTCGTAATACTGTCTAGACTTTTCTTCATCTTACTTTTAACATAATTTTCTGCGTCGAATAGTCTCTGGCCGTTAAAGGTATGATTAATTAAAGTATAGAATGTAACGATTTCTCGTCGGATGCCATCTGACTTATAACTGTACTATACTGATGTGGCATTCACCCTGGGCGGATTGAGCTGGCTTCTTCCTGTTATGAGAAGAAGATTCTTGGGATAAATTACAGAAGTAGGGTACCCAGGCCTACTCGAATAACGTTCTTGCTTGCCGCGGGATTCCCACAGACGCAGAGACAGGAACGACCAGAAGCCGCCGGTTACCGATGCAGACGCTCCTTGGATTTTCACCAGAGCCCTTGTTAGCCGGCGTGTGTGTCAGACCTGTCCGCCTTGGGTGGCCCTACCAGGAACGAAGTAAGTTCCGGGCGGCATAGCTCTGACACTACCGTTTACCCCTTACCACCGACTGTGAGGTAAGGGTTGGACTTTGGGGGCTTACAGTACCAGGTGTTCCCAAGCGGTACCCCATACTGACCTGGCTCTACGATGCTTAACTTCGGTGATCGTACGAGAACCGGTGTTTCAGCGTGATTTGACCGTAAGGGTGATCTGACTTATAAAAGTGGCATTGATTAAAAACAGATGATGTGGTATTTCCGGCATTGGTTACTCACCGACCATTAAACGTATCATTAATTTAAAACAAGTATGTGATATTTCTACGTCGGATATATCGTTGGAGACTTATATTTTTTTTATTTCTTGCTAATTATTTTAACTATTTTAATTGTATTAGATTTTGCGTACTAAAAAAAAAAGCTGTATTAAAGAGTAATAAGTCGAAGAAAAACTAATGAATACTAATAATTAATGTGTTTACAAACAACAAATTTCTTCCAGGTGTTCCAGCTTGATACTTGCGAACGCAACAAATGCTTATTTGGGTCTGCTGGTAACAATTGTAAATGTAAGCTCAAAGAGGCTAAGCCTTTGTTTGCCGATAGAATACGACAACTCGTAGCGTCTAAAATGTTTGGCAACTGGCGGCTCTGTAACGGTGTCTAAAATAAGAGTAAGTCTTCTATCTCTCTTCTCTTTAATCAATTTGAGGTGGACTTCTATTGATAAAGCAGAATGCTTTGCTCGTAAATTCTCTTCAAATTCTACTCTTCACTCATCTGGCTTATCTTTGTCTCACTTTACACTTAGAACTGAGAGTCTGTAACGAAAGGGAAAATCACCTACCTGTTTTGTGTTTGGGGCGTGGTCTGCCGAAGGATAATTAAAGTTGTTAGCAAAAAAAGCTGCTAAGTATCAGAGAATCTCTTCTAACGTTCTTTCCTCCTTGAATGGTGGGGCCAATCAAAAAAAATTACTCTATGAATAAAGGCCATTGTTTTTGCTTTCCAAGGGGGAACAATTTTTGAACTTGGTGAGTGTGAGTGCATTTCTGCTGTTAAGAGGGGGAAGGCTAAATCTCTGACCCCGTTTTTCATTACTACGTTGCCTGCTGGACTGTTTACAACATATTCGCCATTAAACTTGGCAAACAGATTTTTTTGTTTCTATTGACCCCATTGGTTGATACCCAAACACATATGATGACACCCTAATGACCTTCCGACCTTGATGCAGGACTGTGGTATGATAGACTTATGAATGGCTCAATCGAATAATACGTGGCATGGCGGGTCGTTAGTGTGGCAAATGGGAAGATACAAGAAACGTAAATTAATTAAAAGCCTTCTTTGAAAACATTCTGAAGATTTCTGTATTTTGGGTGTGGCCTGCCGAAGAAGAATTATAGAATATATTTATTATCGTATAAATACAATAATTGTGACACATGGCCAAAGGGGAAATGAGGAAAGGCTGGTCTTCGCTAACTATCCTAGTCCTATTTAATCAGGATCACAACCCATTCACCCAGTACAATCTATTTACCACATGACCCCATCCATCACCAATCAATCCGACATATACCTCATATTCACGTGGGGAGGGGGCCTAAAAAACACCCCATGATATAAATATCTCACGAAAGTTCAAGAAGAATTAAAGAAAACAGCAAAAATCTGCTACTTTACGTATCAGAGAAACTATGCTAATGTTCTTTTCTACCCTGAATGGTGTGGCCAATCAGAAAAATCGTTCGATGAATAAAGGCCATTGCTTTTTTTGCTTACCGAGACAGAACGATTTTGAGCTTGGTAAGAGAAAGTGTGTATCTTCTGTTGCAAGGGGAAGGTTGGGTTTCTGACCTTATTTTTCTTACTACGTTGCCTGCTAGACAGTTTACAACAGATTTAAGATTAAACTTAGTATTGAGACACGGATTTTTGTTTTTTGTTTCTACTGACCCTATTGATTGATACCTAAACAGTGTAATATGCATAAAACTCTATACACGGTTTCTGCTACCATCTCTAAACTTGATTCGCACAAAACAAGTGGACTTGATGCTATCCCTGAAATAGTCCTTAAGAAATGTTCCAGAACTGGTTCTTGTTCTCTGTAAGCTCTACAATAAGTGACTTACTGCTTCTTGCTTACAGCCAATTAACCTTTGACCTCTTTTTGGCTTTCTTTTTTGGTTAAGCGTTTCACAGTGTAGGGTCTTCTCTTCAAATTCTACTCTTTACTCATCTGGATTATCTTTGCCTGACTTTCCACAGAGAACTAACTCCCTATTGTGTGATATGCATACAACTCCGTCCGTGGTTTCCGCTATCCTTTCTAAACTATTTCCCCTTAAAACATGTGGACCTGATGGCTATAATCCTCATGAAATGTGTTCGCGAACTGACGCCCAGTTCTCACTAAACTGTAGAATAAGTGCCTTGCTGCGTCTTGCGTTCCTTTTTGTTGGAAATCCTTATCTGTAGTTTCTGGTGGAAGAATTCATGTGCACCACCTGGCCATTATAAATATTGGGGCTTTTAGCTTTCTACCCTCTTTTGGCAAAATACTAGAGGCTCTAATTAACATTGAATTGGGTAAGCATCTTGCAGAGTCTTCTTTCAAATAAGCACTATGGCTTTCGCTTCTCTGGGTCAGCTACTATTAAGTGTTATTACTGAAAGTGCCTATCAAGTTCCAAAATGGTGAATCCCTGTCTGTTGCTTTGGATATCTTGAAGGTTTTTGGCAGGGTTTGGGATATTGGTCTTCTTCACAAGTTGAAAATGTTGTTCATGATGACGGTCGTCTTTGAGTATAGAATCCAGAGGTTAGCAGTGAATATTTCGAAGACAGTAGGAAAGCGTTGTTCAGGTTAGCAGTAATAATTTGGTAAAAGTAGCAGAGCGTAGTTCTTCCTTCTATTTCTCTTCGCTTGACTAGCTGGCACTGGACATTCGGATAGAGTAAACAAAATGGCCGCCTTTATACACGACGGATTGAATATTTTACGTCTTCTGATTGTTTAACCCTTCTCTTGGTTGACTATAAAATGAGTTAAGTCATTTTGACTGGCTCACTAGTACATACATATACACAAAAAACTGCAACAGAAAGGTTATGGTAAATCTAGTCGGATTTTTTAACTGTCTTACTGAATGACGAAATGAAGGTTGTCTTTAACGGACACTCTTCTAGATCTTTTTTGCATTAATCTATTCTTTGAGCTACGTTGTTCATAATTTTCATCAGTAAACATTCCTGATGTCATTACTTCTCAACTCCGTATCGATGCTGATGATAACCATTTACTCCTGTCTTAATAGTAAGTCAGAGCGTTTCGATAAGTTAAATTTGAAAGCCGCCCCCCAAATGATATGCACTCTGTTGTTAACTGGGGAAATGAATGGCTTGTTAATTCTAACGACTCCAAGACGAAAATGCTCTTTTTAAAAATCTGAGAGAACCCTTTTTACTTTTATCATGGCTGGTACTAAGCTCTAGGATAGTGACTCATTGCGGCATCTTGAACTAAAATTTCCCGCTGACATGAAGTCTAAAGATTATATTGAATCAGTTACTAGGTCCCCTGTAAGGAAAGTTTGTTCCTGTGACGTGCTAGAAATTGTTTCTCGACAGAATCTATCCTACATATTCATCAATCGAACATTCATATTTGCTTTGAATATTATAGCCACATCTGGTCTGGTGCTTCTGCTACATATTTAGAAATTCTTGATAAAACCCAAAGAAATATATGCCGTGATATTGATCCTGAATTGATATCTCGGATTCAGGCCCTTTCCTATTAACGTAATGTCGGTGCATTTTCTATAAAAAATTTCATGGTGGTTTTTTCTGATGGAGTTTACTCTATAATACCTACTCCCTTGCGCAAATTAAATGAAACAAAACGAATATTTCCGTTATTCTTTTTTTTCATATTTTCCCAATAAAACATGACACAATGATTCTAACAGCACGAATAATATAAATAATGAGTGTAATCATAATACCTCATCTCAGAGATATAGAGACCGAAACGTTGTGAATATTGCAATAAAGATGAGGATAACAGTCCGCATAATGTAAATAATATATATATAGACATATAATTTTTTGCACAATGTTAAGAATATTTCAGAAGTGTCTTCGGGATTTATTCCGCTCTCAATCGACGATGTAATCGATCGTCTGTATTACATTATGTCTTAAAGAATTTTATGAAGCTAAAAAAAATAGATTGGAAACAATAAAGGGAAAAAAACAATAAATATATATAATAATGAAAACTCTAAAGACGTGTTCAATTTTTATGACTTTATATTGATCTTTTTTATTTAATTGCTTTTTTGTTTTGAAACTTCCATTTTCCCTATAAATAATTATCTTTGAAATTTTCAGCTTGTTTACTTAGAGACAGAATTATCTTGAACACTTCTTTTGAAATAATCACGGACATAATCTATTATGGCATTGAGAAAAAAATTCTAATAACGACATCATGACCAAGAAAGGTATGACATTAAAGATAAAAAAAAAATCTATAAGAACAGATAAGAAGCGAAGATGTACAAAACCCAACAGAATGGAAAATGTTCAAAACGACACCGTCATTCAGTCATATAATAATCGAATATAGACACTTAGCTCACAAGGAGTAAAAAAATAGACATGACTGGGTAGGAATGATGAACCACTGGCAACTATGCAAATGATGGGATTTGTCCTAATAGCATGACAGCCTCAGAAATTAATCCTGAATGTAACACTTGGAGAGGGAAATAAAGGAAATTAAGAAGGAATAACTACTAAATATTTAAAAAAAAAAAACGGAATGAAAGGCTGTCAGCAAAAGAGACAGGCCAAAATATACGTGTTGGGGATGCCAGATATCAAGCGGGTGCATTAATTTAACCAAACGGATCATGTAGTAATTGAAAACAAAAATCTGAATGAATAGCGAAAGAAACATTCCCTCGTCCCACCAATTCAAACATTCACGACAAGTACACGCCATTCCACTTACATAGTATCAAACCACCCACATTTCCCCCGTATTCCATCGGTGAGAGTAAGGTCAACTCAAACAGCTTCTTCTCGCCAACCACAGCTCTGTAGAAACAACTCACAAGAAGCCAACTCAAAAAAAGCTGTTTCCACCGATCACTGCAATCTTAACCTGTTCAAGGTTAGGACTAACC